ATAGGGAGGTACCGTTATATCGGAGCTGTGCGAAGACCAGGACCTCCATAGAGAAATTTCTGTCATAGGCTGTAGCATCCATTACGAACTTCAAATACGACATCTCAAACAATTTCGGTGGGTATTTTACTTAAACTCGTCAAAATACCGAATATAGGGAGGTACTGGTATATGGAGCCTATACGAAGACCTGGACCTGCATAGACAATTTTCTGTCACATACTGTAGTTCCCATTACGAACTCTAAATACGTAATTTGAAACGATTCTGGTGAATAATGACGCTAAAATCATCAAAATACGTAATATAGGGAGGTACCGTTGTATGGGGGCTATACGAAGACGTGGACTTGCACAGACAATTTTCTGTCTTAGGCTGTTGTACCCATTTCGAACTTCAAATACCAAATTGGGAACAATTCCGGTGAATAATGTCGCTAAAATCATCAAAATACCGAGTATCGGGAGGTACCGTTATATGGGGGCTATATGAAAACGTGGCCCTACATGGCCCATTTACGAACTTAATCTGCCTACTGGAAAAATAAATATGTGTCAACATTTTAGCCTTCTATCTCAAATCGTTCGAAAGAGCGTGATTACAACAGACAGACTGACGGACATAGCTAAATCGACTTAGAATTTTACGCTGATCAATAATATGTATATTTTGCTGATTTGGTTAAATATTGGGATGGACAACTTCAAACTACCGAAATCCTGATGTATTTCTATATGGGCGCAATGCCTAACTATAGGCCGATATGGTCCATTAACATAATCGATAGCAAATATCTTAGAATTAGAACAAAAATGTATTCAAAATTTAATTTATTTATCTTTCAAATTTTAATTTTCAACACACTAGCATACATCGTCATATCAACTTATTTTACCCTGATCATGAATATATATATTAACTTTATGGGGACTCCGACATATATTTCGAGGTTTGGAAATGACAAAGGTAATATATCCCCAGTGGAGGCTATAAAATCTTTGGTGTACAGAAGATCGATTACCAATATAATCTACATTTTCAACAAGTTTTCGACTTTCCTTTTTTATGTAGCTCCGAAAATGTTCACAATTTTTGCAACTATTGGGACCTTTGCTCCCGCACACCTATTCCTTGTTTCCTCAACTACAAAATTTTGAAAACTCAAGCGACATGGCAAGGAAGATGTCCAATAGCCATTAACACCTAATATTGGCCATGATCAAACATTTGACATGGCACAATGATCATTAATGACCTGATAATAACGTATAGCACCATCGTGATGATGATCATCACCATCACAACAAAGATCATCATTATCGTCAAACAACAATGACAACACGAAATGAAAGTACGTTTCTTTTCAGCATTAAAATGTTGACATAATTCCATTGGCGTTTATTTTTTACCGACGCATCTTCTTTTTCCATTTTTTTTTGTGTTATTTTTGGGAGGTATTGAACCATGAGGCTGACATACATAGTATAGTCGTCAGAGCAAGCAACAAAAAAATGAAACAACAACAAAGCCCCTTTCAAATCCCTCAAAACGTCACAAAGTTTAAAAAAAAAAGAAAAAATATGTTGGCATCATACATCACATGTCGCATGGTTCGAGGTGGAACATACTTAGTAGAAGGTATGTTTGTCTGTATGTATGACTGTATGTATGTACTTTACTTTCAGTGTGTCATTCGTCAAACGATTCACATGAATTTTCAAAACCTCCAAAGAGAATGCGAACAAGATTTTTTCGTTTTTTTTGCTTTTCGGGGATTTAGTTGAGAAGGTGCGAAGAGCAGAAATGCCATGAAATATGTGTGAAATAATTCAATATAGGTATGTGTGTGTGTGTTTTTATTGTGTGGATATGCGCCCAAAAAAACTTTTATATAGTAGATGGATATTTGAACAAATGTATTTTCGTCAAAATTTTGTCAACAAAAAAAAAAAAAAATATATGCCACTGCTTAGGCAAAACAATTAAAGTATACGTATCCATTGGATACTTGTGCTACATTGAATATATGTTGTTTGGTATAAGAAGCATATTCACGGTGGTTTGTGGAGAATTTGGGAATAATTTCAAATTTTAAAAAATTCTGCTATTTTTTTAACATTTTTAAAATATTAGCATTTTTTTTAATTTTTATGAGACCCCAAAAAAATATTCAGAAAATATTTCAAAATTTCACTGCCAATAATCCATAGCAGACTTTCGACTTTTGAAAGCCTCTACAAAATCTTCTGCCTCCATTAGGCCCTTGTGGGGTTTTTGTCTCAAAACAACCTCTTAAAGGTCTCCAACCTCTAGAAGGCCTTCAGAAGTTGTTCTGTCAATAGAAAACCTTAAATAGTTTTATTGGACTAAAGAATACCTGACTTATTTCTACTTCAGTAAGAGCTCTCAGATTTTTTTGAAAAAAATTTCCAGACCCATGTATTGGCACCCTGATTTCCAGAAAGTATTTTTTCTTGGGGACGGTCCCGAATATTCGGATATTTGAACGGCAAGATCGGGACAATGTGGGTATCATTTGAAACCTAAAAAAAATATATATCCAACAAGTGGTCAATAGGTGTTATTCAAAATGGCTCAGGAATTGTATCAAAAATATTGTTGTTTTTTTTTTTTGGACCCTGATTTTTCAAAAAATAATCCAAAAGTCGAAAAAGACCCAATTTTCAGAGGGGACAAAATGTATTCCAGTTTTTTCATGTGACCACTTGTTGGATAGGTATTTTTATTGGGACAACTGTATCCGCCCGGACCTTGGACCTGGATTTTCCGCTCAAATATTGGTATACAATTCAGTCTTCCACAACAAAAAACAAAAAACAAATCAGGATACCTATACCTACCTCTGAAAAAAAAAATTAAAATTTTTAATTTTGGATGCCTCCGATCTGTTGAAGACGGTCTTCAATCCACAGGTAAACTTCACCGCGGACAATAGAAGATTAGATTAAGGACCTGTGTCCATAGAAGACCGATACAGGGCTATTGAACTATAACAAGTAAAAATGCTGTAAATTCGGCTGGGCCGAAAGTCATCAAAATATCGAATATCGGGAGGAACCGTTATATGGTGGCTATACGAAGACATGGATCTACCCAGACAGACAATTTTCTATCATAGGCTGGGGTACCCATTACGAACTTCAAGTACCAAATTTGAAACAATCTAAATACCGAATACGAAGGCGTGGACCTGCATGTACAATTTTCTGTCATAGGCTATAATATCCATTACGAACTTAAAATACCAAATTTGAAACATTTTCAGTGAATAGTGCCCAATAATTCTTTATTGACATCAGCTCGGATGGTTATCCCGGATTTTATGAACGTTTATGTTATTTAAAATTTAGACCCTTTGCGGGTATGTACCAGGAATATTGGAACATGTTAAGTTTAGAGAGAACTCAATGCTTATTTCGGGTTTTATGAACTTCAATTTTTTTTTAATTTCGAACCGTTATGGTGGGTGCACCAGAAGGAGTGGACCGATATCTACCATCCTCACACCATGTCTTGTGTTGGAAAAATATCGGGATGTGCCGAGTTTGAAATAATTCAGATGCTTATTTTCCGTTTCATGAGATCCATGGTTATTACAAACGTTGACCTGTTGTGGGGGAGGTACCGTAAGAAGTGTACCGATATTGCCCGTGTCCGAACTCAATCTAATTTTGATAACAATATTACGATGTACCTAATTTGGATCCCCTTCGAGAGTTATCGTGCTCACCAGCCAGACAGGCCTAGGACGGACACCGCTTTAAAAGCCCAAGTACATTTCCCTTAGAAAACTATCCTAAAATATTGAATATACAGCTTTAACAGTCCTGGCTCTTTTTGACTCTTATGTTGCCACTTTTCTCCAACTTTCAAGCCTGATAATCCATTAAAAAATATATTTAAAAACATCAGCGTATATGGATCTTGTAATTGTTATTAATACCTCTGACAGGACTTGAGAATATGTTTTTAAAAACCTATTTATAGTTCTGACATTTCTTCAAAATCCACGTTTCTAGCTCTGATATACGTAAACAGTTCAAGTTTATGGCTCTGAAATCTCCAGCAACATATTATTTAAAAAATTCACGCTAGTCGATCTGACAGTTCTTGAAAAACTCTTTGGGAGAAAAAGTGTCAAATGTTCTGATAGTCCTTGAAAATATCCTTATATATCCACGTTCATAATCCTTACAATCCTGAAAAAGTATTTCTAGAAATTCATTATTTTTGCTTGAATTAATTCTTTAAAACTCCACATTTGAGGCTCTTGTTTTCCTTCGGCACGTATTTCACAATTTCCTCCTCCTTCGTGACCACTGTTCACCTTGGAACGTGGTAAACACTTCGTTAAATACGCCCAACCAACAATAACTACAATCAATCAGCAGCGGCAGCAGCAGCAACAGCCTCAATACCGGCAATCGATGAACACAGAACTCCCCAACCAGCGACAAAAACGTGCAAAGCTCATTCTCACATATCCGATTTGATCCAATCCAATCCATACTCTCTTATTCTCACCCACTTACGCGCTCTCTCCCTCTCTCTGTTGACCACATTTGTGTGTGGTGGGGAAAATACAACATCATTGTTGTTGCACTTTTTGTTTTGTGTGCAATTAAACAAGTGAGTATTGAGCAGTAGGGCTACGAATATGAGTTCTCGGTATTGTTTCGTGCTTAAAGTACTCAGCAGTGTTGTCGTTTTGTAGTGGCGTTCGGATATCGTCGACAAACGGTTTAAGGTGTGGGTGGGGGAGGGGCATGTACAAAAACAAATTCTGTTTTGCTCTTACCTGAAATTGAAATCGTCACTTGTTGTGTCGATCGCGTCGCGTCGTGTTTGTTTTGTTTTTTTGGACGGTTTTTTTTTTCTCCCCATTTCTCATTGTTTGTTTGTTTGTCTGCTCGCTCGCAGTTCATCATCGTTCTGTACTCTCAAAAATATTTAGTCACTGTTGTTCGTGTATGGTATGGTTCCTTCCATTGTATTATTATTATTTTCTATTTACTTTTTTCATTTGTTTGGAACGGCGCGGCATTCATTGTTGGCTCGCTTGGTTTGGGAACATTTCACGTGTGTGCGCCGCCTATGTGTGAGCGAACGAGCTAGCGAGCGATCAGCGCAGCGGTTTTAATATTTTTGTGGCATTTCCAAGTCAGGGTTTTAAAGTTCGATATCAGCGAAAACGTTGTAGTGAATTACAAAAAAAAGAAAAAAATTCAAAACCCCAATTTCGAAGTGCACAGTAAGCAACATCCAAAGAGTCAAACAGCCAAACAACCAACAGACCGACCCAGTGATCGTTTGTGGTTGTCATCGTCGTCGTAGCCATCGTTTCCGTTGCTCCAGTAATAGGACCATCAAAGAATACGTCTCTTTCGCCTGAACCTAGAAAGTTAACGTGCGCGCTGAAGCGGTTACTGTTTTGTGCTTTTAATTGAATTAATTGGAATTTCGTATTTAATTGAAATTAATATCGATTTCAAATCATATATATTTTTGTGTGCGTGTGTGTAAAGCGAATCGAATGGAATAATAGAAGTGAAATAATCTCAGAACAACAGGTGTAGTTTTGAAAATACCTTTGACGAATTAGAATTAAAACAGAAAATGGAATTAGAGCAACTAGTAAAAAATATAGAAATTCAGAGCTGATACTCAAAAAATATATTTAATAAAAATTAAAAGCAAAAAGTTTACAGATTTTGTTATTGGCATTTTTAAGTAATTTCTGCAAAAAAAAAAAAATAATAAAAATAAAAAAAAATAAATAATAAAAAAAAAAAACAAAATATGAAATAAAATACATATATAAATCAAATAAATAAGAATAAATAAATTACAAAATCCCCTACCAAATAAAGTACAAATTTCATAAACCACAGAATTCCAAATATGAAATCAACAGTGAAATAATAAAATAAACACGAAGCAACAATAAAGTTATTTTTAAAAATAATATATAACTACATATATGTACATAAGTATGTCGGCATATATTTAACTTCTTAATATATAAAAATTACAAAAAAATTTTTTTTTAAGAAAAAAAAAATGTGCAAATCACATATATATACAATTGTGTTTTTCCGTCGGATCACATCACATTTTACTTTAGTTACATTAAAATTAAAAATTCAAAATCATTTGTGTACAACATTTATTATTTTCATATTTACGATTGCCAAGTGAAAAATTAAAATTTAAATATTTTTTTTTTTAATTATTTTGTTGGCATTAAAATTGGTGTTCAAAAATAGAGAAGTTTGAAAAATATATGGTCTACGAACCTGATCTACGCATAAATATTTGAAGTGAATCTGAAGTAAAAATTAAAATTGTTATTTTGTTATTAGAGGCAGTGAAAATTTGATAACCTCTTGAAGAGGATAAATGGAAATATAATCCTGTGGATACACCCCAAATTTGTTTTTTTTTTTTAATAAAGAGGGGCTGGATTTCTGCCCTATGAAAATAAGAAGTGAATAATTTTCGTTTTGACGATTTTTTTTTTTCAAAAGTAGAATTGTTTACTACAGCCCTGAACTTCTCGAAAAAAAAAATCATATTGTAACGATAGATTCAACAGAAAGATTAGTGAAAGTAGTAAAAAGAAAAAAAAATATTTATAATTTTTATTATTTTTGTTATTTTTCCCAATTTTTATACCCTCACCATACCTAGTGTAGAGAGAACATTTAGTTCTTCATTCTGTTTATATGACAAGGTACATACTTTCCTTATCAGCATAACATTTTAAGACGATTTTGACAAGTCTATCTCACAGTGACCGAAAATCGTCTTTCTTGGTCAAAATTCCGTAAATATTTAACGGTCAAATATGTTTTAATATCAATTTGTTGAACAGTGAGGGAGCAGTGATATCCCAGTAATCGAAGTTCTACGTCCAATTTTTTCTTAAAATTTGCAAAATAATTAATAAAAATTTGAAGAAAATTCTTGAAGTTGATTTATGAAATTTTCAATATTTCCCTACTCAATTAACTATCATTATAACCTACACCACATAGTGGTAAGGCTATTATGTCTCTGTGCATTTGTTTGTAATATGGAGAAGGAAGCGAGATAGACCCATAGTTACTTTTGAGGATATTCATAGAATCACTTGCTGAGTCGATTTATACATGTCAGTCCGTCCATGTAGTTTTGTGAACAAAATGCAGGTCACATTTATTATCCAATTGAGATGAAATTTTCCAAGTCAAATTTTGTTTGGCTTGGTCCAATTTTAGATATATCGCTCCCACATTTATCTTTGACCGATTTCAGGTTTATTGTGGACCAGACTGTTAATATCCATCCAAATGGAATAAATTTTGTCACTTCCGACCAAAATCACCCAGAAGTATGTATTTCAAATATATATGCTTTATCCGATTTGGGGTTTTAATTCCCTCACATGCGTAATATGCACTTCACAAGTACCAGGTAACTTAGGGACCTCGAAAATACTTATGTTAAATTTTATAGAGATCGGTTCAGATTCGGATATAGCGTCCATACATATCTTTATCCGATTTCAGGTTTTTTTGTGCACCAAATTGGTGATATCAGCCCAAATTTTCAGTCCATTTAATCCACTTTAGTACTTTCGACTGAATTTAGAATATAAGCAAGTGCTTCAAAATTTGGTGAAAATCGATTTAGATATAGCTATCCGATTTGGTGTTAAAGTCCCTTACATGTGTGAATAGATTTTTTTCATATTCAACCGAATTTTATCCTTTGGTGACACTCGGTTCGTTTTACCTGCGGGAGCTCTACTAAATACGCATAGTGTTATATTAGGCCTCGGCCGACTTTTTCACCTTACTAGTTTACAAATTTTATACCCTCCATCATAGTATGGAGGGTATATTAAGTTTTTCATTCCGTTTGTAACACTTCGAAATATACATTTTAGGCCCCACAAAGTATATATATTCCTGATCAGCATAAAATTCTATTTCGATTTAGCGATGTCCGTCGGTCTATACGTCTGTGGAAAACACTCTAGTTTCCGAATGAAAAAAAGTAGGTTGATAAAATTTTACTCAAATGTATATTATGTCTGCAGGACTTTTGGTATTGAAAATGGGTCATGTAGTTCGTTATAGTCCCCATATAACGGCACCTACCGATATTCGGTATTTTGACGATTTTAGCGACACTCTATACCGGAAATGTTTCATGTGTGTTATTTGAAGTTCATAATGGATATAACAGCCTATGACAGAAAATTGTCTATGCAGGTCCACGTCTTTCTATAGCCCCCCATACAATGATACCTCCCTTTATTCGGTATTTTGATGATTTTAGCGACATTATTCACCATTATTATTATAAACAGATTTTTCTTCAAGTTTCGCATTTAAATATTGTAATAACTTATGACAAATGTTGCCTATGCAGGCCCACGTCGTCGTATAAGCATTCGGTATTTTTAAGATTTTACCAGAATTTTTAACGGATTTTATTTTATTTTTTTTTTTTTTTTTTTTGAAATTGCCAAATTTGTACCAAATGGTGGAGGGTATTAAAAGTTCGGCCCGGCCGAACTTACAGCTTTTTAACTTGTTTTCTTTTCCTTTTTTTTTTTTTTTTTTTTTTTTGAAATTTTCAAGTTCCTTCCTATTGATGGAGGGTATAAAAAATTCGACCCGATCGAACTTAGCTGCTGTTTTACTTGATTTATTTATTATTATGTTTGTTATTTTGATTTTTATAATATCGAAAACCCTCATGAATAACCTTTATCTCAGAAAAATTTAAATTAAGTGTGGAACGCTTAAGTATGACCACATGGTGGTAGGATCTAAATTTTAGGGATATTTCGTATATACATTTAAACTGAAATTTTAATATGTAAAGAGAAATAAAGTCAGATAATTTCGGATTAGTCCACCACTACGTTTTGTAAATATCGTCTTTTATTAAATTAGTAGTAGAGTGCATAGAATTTTAAAATCTGTTTGTGGAATCTATACTTCTAGCAAAATTTCCAAAGTCTTCGGACATAAAATTAAAACCTTCTTCTAAAAATAAAATTTAAATAAATGTTTTGTGCCATCTAAAATTATAATAATGGAGAAAGTTCATGTTTGTGGTTTGAGGTTATGCGGTGTAAATTCCATTTTAAAGATTGCATGTTTAATCGTACAATATACATTAAGAAAAAACAAGTAAAAAACATTAAGTTCGGCCGGGCCAAACTTTTAATACCCTCTACCTTAGGGTAAAGGAAACATTAGACTTCATTATGACCCACAAATACAAATTTTTAGACATATTCATGGGAAAATGTGCCAAAAATTATCAAAATACCGAATAACGGGGAATACGGCTACATGGGACTATTCAAAAACGTGTTTCGCCACCGGAGCTAGAACCCAATATGACCTACAAATACCAATTTTCAGACAAATCCGTGAAAAAATGTGGCAAAAATCATCAAATTACCGAATATCGGGAAGTACCGTTATATGGGGGCTATACCAAATCGTGGACCTATAATTACAATGACTCGCCACACGAACTGGGACCCATAATGATCTATAACTACCAATTTTCAGAGAAATTCTTGAAAAAATGTATCAAAAATCATCAAAATACCGAATATTGGGAGGTATCGTTATACAAAATGGTGGACCTATGCATGCGATGTTTCGCCACCGGAGCTGGAACCCAATATGACCTACAAATACCAAATTTCAGACAAATCCGTGAAAAAGTGTGGCAAAAATAATCAAAATACCGAATATCGGGAGTTACCTTTATATGGGGGCTATACCAGAACGTGGACCGATATATCTCATTTTCAATACCAACCATCCTAGACACAATACAAATTGCTCTGCTAAATTTTGGCGATCTACGTCAAATAATGTGGGCTGTAACGTGATTTCAACAGACAGACAGACGGACATCGTTAAATCGACTTAGAATTTTATGCTGATTATGAATATATTCATACTTTATGGGATCTACAACGAATATTTAAGGATGTTACAAACGGAATGACAAAGTTAATATAACCTCCTTTCAAAGGTGGAGGGTATAATAACATAAAACTGTATATATAACTAGCCCGATGTGATATTTTTTTCTGCCTATGTAAACAAAGGAAAGCAGTGGAATCTCTCTCAAGGCCATATGAAATTGGTCTTTCTTTCAATTTCAAAATCCAGATTCGTGTCAATTCAAAAATTACAATTGCGGAAGTCATATTTTTCCAATGTGTGGATTGCGTGTCATATTACTGATATTTTCATAGCAAACAATTTGTCCCCTTTTAAAGATTTTTTCCTATTCAAAATTAAGGGTTCTTGGCTAATTTTGTTTAAAACGTTTGATAAAATTTCGTATTTATATGCAGCGCATAGCAATGCAATCTGTAATTTAAAAACCCACAAAATTACCTCATTTAGTGGTAGACAATTTATTCTGGCTACTCAGTTTACCCATAAAATCCGACACTTGCATTGTTTGTTGTTTTTGTTGTTGCCTTTTTGCTATGGAAAATTTTGCTGTTGTCATCAGAATTTTAAATTCACGAGTTTTAATA